CCCGCAGCGGCGGCGGGGGGCGGCAGCGGGGAGCGCCAGGGGCCCAAGGACAAATGGAGCAACTTCGACCCCACGGGCCTGGAGCGCGCGGCCAAGGCGGCGAGGGAGCTGGACGCGTCCCGTGCGTGAGGGACGGGCCCCTGGGCCCCGCGTGGGGGTTCCTGGGGGGTCTGGAGAGGATCCGGGGGGCTCCGGGTTGCTGTGAGGGACCGGGGGGTTCCTCGCTGATCCCTTCTTCTTGCTTGCCCCTTCAGGGCACGCGAAAGATGCCCTCAGCCTCGCCCAGATGCAAGAGCAGACCCTGCAGCTGGAGCAGCAAACCAAGCTCAAGGTGCGGCCCAAACCCCAAGCATTCGTGTTCCAGGGAATTGTCAGGCTTATGGGGGGATAAACTGGAGCCTTATTTTCCAGCAGTGTGGTGAGAGTGCTAAGCTTTTCATTTTCACATTTGGCTTTCTTTAATTCTGTAAGCTGAACTGCTGCAGGGTTAACTTTTTTTTCCTTTGACCTTTTATAACTTCATTTAGAAATTGTGTGATCTGGGTGACTTTATAAACGTTGAAATGTCTCCAAACTAGAATAAATAATTTTATTATTTTCATGGAGTGATGAGGTTTTTGCAGGTGTAAAATGATTGGGAAAAAAAGGTAGACTGCTATCTCCTTTTTATTTTTTGAAAATAAATCGCATTTCATTGTGAAATAGCTGGCTGTGGACTTTCTGTTTTAAGCTTGTATTTTATTGATCATATATCACTAGAAAGCCAAAACAAGATCTATCTGCTTTGCAGGGTATCACAGTGTTTAAAAATATGCTCTTCTTGAAACATAATTGTCACCAGTAAATGTTGTAGTGAGCTTATTTGTGATGGCTGTTTTCCTACTGCAATAGGAATATGAAGCTGCCATAGAACAGCTGAAGAGTGAACAGATACGGGTGCAAGCAGAAGAGAGAAGAAAAACACTTACTGAGGAAACAAAACAGCATCAAGCAGTAAGGAAATGCGGGGGAATCCAACCCACGAGTGACCTTGTCTGTGCCCTTCGTTGTGGAAAGGGAACCAGTGCATTAATTGAGCTTTTGTGCCTGGGTCAGCCCTAAATGGGAGGCCGTTCACAGACTGCCCCTGTTTCGTACCCCAGCTTTGTGATGGTGGGGTTGATTTTCAACTTGGTGCAGCTTTGTGGTATCAGACTCTTGTTCCCAGATTCTGGAACACCTGAAGGGACACGTCATAACACTTATTCTTCCTTTAACTTCCCTTCAAGGAACTTGAAGAGAAGTCGACTGTTCTGGCGTACGTGTGTTTGTGCCTGAAGGGCTGTTGGTTGAGGGCTGCTGGCTTAGCAAGCATGTGTGTTGCTTGGACAGTGAAATCTCTCCAGTTATTTGGATTTCAGTCTTAACTAGGCTCTAAACTTCTATTTCTTTCAAGCTTGATCTTTTGGAAAGAACAAGTTACCTTAAAGGAGAAGCGATGCAAATCTGAGTGTTGTCAGAAGTGACTTTTGAGCAGTTGATGATTTTTTTGGTATGTTTTAGCCATCTGTATTGAATTACGGAGGAGATGCTAATGCTGAAGTCCGGGAAACGTAAATTGGCTTTGTTTTTGTTACTCACATATGGTGACAGTTTGCTTTGAGGGTACATGAAAATACAGGATTGCTAAATGTAACTTGGGGGTATATGATGGCAGCTAAAAGTGCTTTGCTGGCACGCATTGCTTTGTAGCCCACTGGAGTCCAGACTTTGAACAGGGCTGGATCAGGAAATAGCCTCCCTGATAGGTGTCTGATCTGTTCATGAATTAGCTCTTAAACTCTTGCAGTTTGTAAGTCATCATTTGGTGAAGTCAAAGCAAATTTAATCGAGATTCATTTTTGAAGTGCTGTGCTGTGAAGTACAGTTGTTGAGGACATGACTTACGAGATATTTTATTTGCAGTGGAGAATAAAATCATATATTGTCCAAAGTCATGTTTGCTGATGGACTGGGGCTCTCAGACCCCTTTCAGTGGAGTTAGATGACATTGATTTATTTGCTAGTTGCAGGGGATAAAATTGAGGTAATTAACGAGGAACAAGTTAACTGATGAGCAATGGAGCTCAGTTGACAAGCAGCATATCTTGGCAATGTTGTTTAGAGTTATCTAGATATTATATCTTTTAACATGAAAATATGGTTTTACCAGTAAAGTGCTTTTGGGTCAGGAAGCTTTTTATTTAGTTTGAACATGAAAATATGGTACCATATTACCAGTAAAGCGCTTTTGGGTCAGGAAGCTTTTTATTTATTATTTTCTTCTCTCTCTGTCATTATTGCTCTCTTCTAAACAAATAATGTTTTATTCTAAATACTACTTTTTTTCTTAAGCGAGCCCAATATCAGGACAAATTGGCAAGGCAGCGCTATGATGAACAGATGCGACAACAGGTATGATACTTTTGGTTTCATATATATATATTTTTGCTTGGCTTCAACATTTTTGGCCAGGCAAATAGAAAACAGGGACAGCACAAAGCAGCTAAGGGTGCTGGATTTGGGGATATGAATCTGGGAGCTTGGGCAGTGGAGAATGCCCTTTAAACTAGGTGCTGCTTTCTTGAAAGCATTTCTAACATTTAAGCTTTACAAATACCTTGCTGCCTGTGTTGTTACAACTTCAACAAATCTACTACAATCGTCTCTGCCTACAGCAACTCGCTAATGAAGAGAATCTGAGGAAGCAGGAGGAGTCTGTGCAGAAGCAAGAAGCCATGAGGCGAGGTAGGTTACTCATTTTTCTTTAACTGGTTACAAAGTGGATGGGGGGAGATCAGTGATCTTTGAATTCGCATCCTTGTTGGCTAATGTTCAATCCGGAGCCTGTGTTAATGCCATATTAACAAGCAGCAAGCATTTTCTTTTTCTCTCTCTCATTTATTTATCTATTCACTTATTTTAGCCACTGTAGAGCGCGAGATGGAGCTGCGGCATAAAAATGAAATGCTGCGTGTTGAGGCTGAGGCCAGAGCCCGAGCCAAGGCCGAGCGGGAGAACGCGGACATCATCCGGGAGCAGATCCGCCTGAAGGCCGCTGAGCATCGCCAGACGGTGCTGGAGTCCCTCAAGTACGTGCAGGTCAAGCCAAGGGTGGGGGCTGCTTTGCTGCTTGGCAGATTTCTCCTGCCCTGTAGAAAACCTTACTGATGTCTGTGTATTTGAAGTGAGAAAATGTTGAGTTAGGTCTTGAGGTTTTTGATGAAAAGAACTTTCGAATTAAACACCTTTCATTATGACCATCTGTTTTTTAAAATGGTAATGACTTAGTGCCAAGTATTCTTTTGGATTTAATGCCTGATCAGGTGAGCAAATCAGATGACGATAAATGTATTTACCCTCCTTGCACATGTTTGGGTTCCTAGCTGAGCCCTGAGTTAGCTTTGGCTGATTCTCAGGAAGGTTATTGTAAGGGTTTAGAGTGATCTCGTGCCTTGCTTGCATTCAGTCTTCAGAGTTTCTCTTCCTGCTTATTGTTTCCTCTTACTGTAGGACAGCTGGGATGCTCTTCGGGGAAGGCTTCCGTGCTTTTGTAACAGACTGGGATAAAGTTACAGCCACGGTAAGACAGGGGCTTCCAGAACTCCAGCTGCTTTTTAGTGATGGGTGAATTTCTGTTTGTAGTTAAACTGAGAGTGTTCTGTAGTCCTTAGTGTTGTTGATACGGGGCTTCTTTGCCAGTAATGGTTTCTGGAAGCAGAAAATCTCTTCCCTCCTCCCACAAAAAAATATCTTTTGTACCTCTGCAATTAAACTACAAACTGGAAGGTTCCTGTTTCAGAGGTTTTATTTTAGATGCTGCTACTTTTCATTTGTGAAGAAGAGCAAGTCTTTGGTGTAAAATCAATAATAGTTAGAGCACAGGAGCAGACAGCCCTTAAATCCGTCCTAACAGCTGATAGTGTTGCAATTACTTGCCTCAGAGCATAATTTGTGTGGAGCAACCATCTGCAATGGTTACAGTTTGAGGTCCTTTGGAAAATTATTGCCTGGTGCTTTTAGCTTCCTAGTCTTTTGACCCAGATACAAGTTTTGTGCATTATGATTCTGATCCTCCTGCCTTTTCTTGCAGGTGGCTGGCCTGACCCTGCTGGCCGTGGGCGTTTACTCTGCCAAGAACGCGACTGCGGTAGCAGGGCGATACATAGAAGCCCGGCTGGGGAAACCTTCCCTCGTGAGAGAGACCTCACGCATCACTGTGCTTGAGGCACTCAAGCACCCTATTATGGTAAATTTTATCATAGTTTTCTGCTGCTTTTATCTGTGTGGATACAAAATTCCTTTTGCTGTTCTGTGTGTGTGTGTGCTGTTCTGTGTGTGTGTGTATGTATATATATGTATTTGTATGTATATATACTTTTATTTTTTATCTACATCTTTTGTCCAGGTGAGTTGTGAAGTCTGTGATGGGTTTCTACATGTCAGTAATTAAATTTATTCTCTCTAGGTTGGAAAGCGTCTTACCAGCAAGGCTCAGGATGCTCTTGAAGGAGTTGTTCTCAGTGTGAGTATTTTATTTTGGTGTTTTGATCTGTGAATGATTTTTTTTAAAAAAAATATAAATATGAAAGTGCCACCTTATTTTTGCTTCTAATGCTGTCATCCCAGTAATTCTGTAGACATAGCACCTTTGGGGCACTGAGACTGTAAATAAGCTCATGTGTTCAGTGGCACACATTAAAGACTGATAACCTTTGATCTTTCTGTGCAAAGCAGTTGGAAGTCTTTGTTCAGTGCTTGCACTGCTGCAGTTTTTCTCTTTAGTCAGCAGATTAATATGTGGAGTAAAATCTGTCAGATATTACTGAACAAAATGTAGTTCTAGGTCAAAAAGCCTGAGGAGCATATTCATTTATCAATCTTTGGAATGGTCCTTAACTCAGTAATTAATGCTGCTTCTGTATATTTGATTCCTTGATATCAGAGAAATTTAAATGCTTCGTGAGGCAGTAAAGAGAAAGTGCTCCTACAGGAATAACTTTCTCCTCTTGTTTCTACAGGAATAAGTATGAGCATGAATGTTTATCACTTGCATGAAAGAGTTAGTGCTCTCCTAAGAGTTGCTCCTGGTTGGGCGTATGTTTATTAGAGCATTCAATATGAAGTGACTATTTTGACTGTTTTGGCTGTTTCCAGCCCTTGCAGCAGTTACTGCCTGCCTATTGCTGATGAAACTGGTCTGCGAAGCTCATAGAAGTTCCTCTCTTACTTAAGTTTAACTCTTTTCTTGCAGCCAAAGTTGGAAGCACGTGTGAGAGACATTGCCATAGCAACAAGAAATACAAAAAAGAACAAAAGCCTATACAGGAATATCCTTATGTATGGTCCCCCTGGCACTGGAAAGACGCTCTTTGCCAAGGTAAAACGCTGCCTGGATTCTCATAGCCCACATGTTGCTGGGTGCTCCGCAAAATACAGCCTTCTAAGCATCCTTCTCTGACCTGAAATCTGATCCATCCATAGCAACTGCAAGAAGACAGTGGTGGTAGATGTAAAGGCTTGGTGGAGATCAGAAAGAATGTGAATATAAAAGTGAGGGAAGGTCTGGGTTCATCAGAGCTGTGTGCTGTAAAGGAGGAGCAGAAATATTGTACAGAAAATGACTTTATTTTGAGCTGAGCCTTGTGTCAGAGCTCACAGCCTTGTTGTACTGATGCAAAGCACTAAGCAGCAGCAGTAGCTGCATGGTCTTGATGCCTAGAGCAGAGCTTTCTTCCTGCCTCGTGCTGTAGAGCAGACAGTTGGTTGGGGTTCAGCAAAACTTGTTTTGCTGGGGTTGTTGCTTCTCTATGTGAGTTGGCTTCTTTGCTTTAACCTTCAGATGACTCTTTATTCACAGAACTGCGTAGCCAGCTCTCAACCTTTACAGTTTTGCAGTGAAGGGGAATGTTGAACTCCATTTTCATTCACTTTTTTGTTTTGTTTCCTTCCAGAAATTAGCTGTGCATTCGGGCATGGACTATGCCATCATGACGGGTGGCGACGTTGCCCCTATGGGGCGGGAAGGAGTCACGGCCATGCACAAACTCTTCGACTGGGCAAACACCAGTAGGAGAGGGTAGGTGGAAGTTCCTCTGACTCCTAATCTCTTCTTGTTACTGAATGATACTCTTGAGCAGATGAGACAAGACTGACCAGACATAATATCTTCGAAAGTGTACCTAGAAGGGGCAAATTTTTGCTGCTTTGTGATGTTTGATGTGGGGATACAGATTCCAAAGGCATTGCCATTAGTCAGGATGTAGAAATCATAAGCTGATGTGCTGTTTTAGGGGGCCTTTAAAAACAAACTTCTATCCCCAGGGAAAGTATCAACTCTGATTTCTTAAGAGAATGTAGCCAGTCTGCTTATGCTGGTGTAAATGCATTTTTGCAGTCCAAAGGCATCAGAAAAGCTGGTTGTCCAGCCAGGTTATTAAAATACAGTAGAGAGCTTGTGGTGGGGTATCAGTGTGTTTCTGTGCTGTTTTTTGATTGCAGGCCTTTTGTAGACAGGGATGACTAATTGGTGATTTATGTCTTCTCTGATTGCTTTAGGCAGACATTATCTTGCAGTGTCTATTTTAATCTTTTCTTGCATTCATCACTAAAATGTTCTTGATTCCCCCTTAAAAAACGAATTTGCAGAATAAATAGTCTAAGCTTCAAATCCCATTCTGTGGAGCTGTAGCAGGGGGAAAAAAAGCAAAAATTTATGTCATTTAAAAAAAAAAAAGTGGGAAGAGATGTGAAGTTACTCAACTCATGGACCTAGGTCCACGTCTTTTGCCTTTTGAACAGCAGGAAGCAAAATTCAAGAAATCTGGAGTCCGTGTCATCTCCTGAAGTTTCTTAACCTAATACCTGTTTCCTTAGCTGCTGGGATAGTCCAAGAACATGCACTGAGCTGGTTGCTGCTGCTCAGATAATAAGCGTTGCCTTAGAAAATGAACTTGCTTGTGTAATCCTTTGGATTTTCAGCTGGTTACAACTATGGATGTCTCATAGTGGGACAGGAGAGGCCTTGAATCCTTTGAGTCTCATTACCTGTCTCACATCACTCTCTAGTACTTTCTCTTTACAGTCTTTTGCTGTTTGTGGATGAAGCAGATGCTTTCCTGCGGAAGAGGGCAACAGTAAGTACTTTTTCAGTGGCCATTATCCATGCCTGCTGCAGGGGCAGTCAGCAGATGCCTTGGTTAGCCTGATTAGTTGGGCTAAACAGTCAAAAGATTAAAAGTGGCACCTGCCCTACTGCTCGCCTAATTAAGGGGCTCTGAGAAAAGAAATTACAGCTGAATGTGATGAGCATCTTGAGACTGACTTGGAAATTCCTTCCTACGGATGAGATGGGTGACATCATCTATTTGGGGATTTTGCCAATGATAGGCAGTAGGAGAGAGAGGCATATGGATGAGCAAAAAGAAGGGAAGGTTGTTCATGCTGCAGCACCAGGACCCGACAGGGTTTGTTTTTGTCCTCAACAAATCATTACCTTGGGATGTTTTTATAGCAGATCTGCTTTTCACTGCCTTAACCAAGCTATGTCTTTGCCCTACAGATGATTCGTTTTCAAAAGTTGCCATGTTGTGCATAATAGAACTCACTTTAGCAATAAAACTGCTTAAATCTGTGACCTGTCTTAGGTCCCCAGGCAACTGATCTTCCTTTGATTTTTATCTTTGCAGGAGAAAATCAGTGAAGACCTCAGAGCAACTTTAAATGCACTTAGTAGATATTATCCTGAAGTGAGGAATGTCTCAAAAAGTGCTATCATGCAAATGAAAGATGAAAACCTCTAGTCCATACCACAATGGTCTTGAAAAATCTGCACAGTATGCTGGCTGTGATAATTCTGATGTCTTGTATGTTTTTTTTCTTCTTTCAATCTCTGTTTTTCTTCCTCCTTCCAGGTTTATGCTTGTTTTAGCCAGTAACCAGCCTGAGCAATTCGACTGGGCCATCAATGACCGAATAGATGAAATAGTGAATTTTGATCTACCCAAGCTAGAAGAACGGGAGCGGCTTGTGAGGATGTATTTTGATAGACATGTCTTGAAGCCAGCCACAGAGGGCAAACAGTGAGTATCCCTGCAGAATTTTTACCTTCTATAGGATTTTTTTTTGATGCTTAATGTCCTATGTATTATTTCAGTATAACATTCAAGCAGTAATACAGGTGCTTCCCTTGCTATACATGGCACACTGTGTAATACACATGGTTATCCGACCTATAGTGTCTATTAACCACTTAAGCAAAGCATCAGATTTCTTCCAGCTTGTAACTGGCTTTTCTCCAAATCTCTCAGAACAAGAATCTCAGTGATGAGTGCTCAGAGAGCTGGGGTAAAAGTGAAGAAGGGCTTTCTTAGCACTGAATTCCTTTCAGCGTGCTCTATACCATTGGATTTGGCCTATTTCTACTCAAATATTGCTCCTGATGTTTGGTTAATCTGAATTATAGTTATCCTAAACTGTGGTGGTGTTTCCTCTGTTCGAAGCAAAACATCTGATGATGCCCTTTAGGAGCTACATTGTTGGCAGCTGGCAGCTGCGTTTGGGTTGTGGTTAAATTATCTTAAAAATCCGTGAAGGCTGGTAAGTTACATGCAACTTAGGGTCTGCTTCACATATACAGTGCTGAATTCCTGTGATTTCATCCAAGAATCTTTCCTTTAAAGCCTACCTGTGGACTCCCTCTCTCCTCTTCTCGTTTGGCTGTGTGTAAATGAATCTTTTACTTCTTGCAGGCGCCTGAAGCTGGCCCAGTTTGACTATGGGAAGAAGTGCTCGGAGATTGCCAGACTCACGGAGGGCATGTCCGGCCGCGAGATCTCGCAGCTGGCCGTGGCGTGGCAGGTACACTGGACTCTCACTGGCCTTTTAGGGTCCTTTTCACTTTTTGGAAGGCTTGACAGTGTCCTGTTGCACTCGGATCTTGTTGTAATAGGAATGTCCATCCTTCCCAGGAATGACCTTGGCTTCTGTCATTTGTCCTTTAAGAGATCTTAAAGGAGGGTGGGCTGGCTTAACTTCTTCGTGCCGTTAAAGTGATTAAGGTACCTTCTTAGAGTACCTTACAGCACCAGAACTATTAAAAAGGGGCTCTGTAGAATAGCAGCAGGACGCTCCATTCCCCTCTCTTCATAAAACAATTGAAGGGTTTAGAAACAAAGGATGTGAAGATGCAGCAGTGTGTGGGCAGAAAGATACAAACTGTTTTGATGCAGGAGCTGCAAAAGAGCTTCAGCTGTGTCAAAATCAATTGCTGGTGTTCTGGAACAAGAGGCTTCGTATCTTGCACCCTGTTGATGAAGAAAGGAAGTGTAATGTGGTAAGGGTCAGTGTTAAAATAGCAGCTTTTTCCAGCTAGAGGCTAGACACATGTACCTTTCTTCCTCAGAAGATGACTGGGAGGGCACAATAAAAGCCCTGAGGTGAGAAGAGCTTATCACAAGTGAAGCAGATGTTTTAAGTTCTCCTGACTGAACCTGATCTTTTGAATGATGTTACTATTTTGGGCCTGGGTCAGCTCTGGCAGATACCTTGTTGTAGATAGTTTTGCAGCTGATAAAACGCTCTGCTATCATGGCAGGATGAAGGCTGCAGTTTGACAAGCATTTCTGGCAGCAGTAGCTCCTGCCGTTTATTTTTGCCTTTCTGCTCTCCTTTCCGTTGTGCTGGTACAATTCTCTGTGTGACTGTTATGAACTGGGTCAGGGAGCTGATGAGAGTTAAAAATAGCTTGGCAAGGCGAGTGCACTGCATAGCTACCCAGTGCTGTCCTGGCACAACTGAGGCAGAAGATCCAGGGTAGTTAGGGCCTATGGGAGCCAGCACATCTGGCTCAAAAAAAACCCTCAGGATGCAGCTGCTGACTCTGGACATGTTGGTCTTTTAAACTCCTGTAAAACTGATGGAATTCTGATCCAAGACGCTGCATGCCAGAGGTGAAAGACACCCATAAATAGCTCTCTACGTAAGCATCTTGTTCAAACTAGAGGTCTGAGTGAAAGCTACAGCTTTCGTAGTTTAATTTCACAATAAATGTGTTTGGTTGTCATGAAGAAGCTCTGTCTTGCTCTTAGTTCAGTCTAGCTCAGGCCCTGGACTTTCCAAACAGAAAAATTAAGATGCAGAAAAGCCTCTAGCGCTGGGGGAAAAATATTGTTGTCTCTGGTGCAGCTAATAGTCTGTGTGCTAGAAATGCATTTTGATGCTCCTCTTCCGCAGAACACTGAGCCTTTCCTTTTGTCCTGATGCTTCTTCATTCTCTGTATCTAATCCTTTTCAAACACACCATGGATCAGATGTATTTACACACTTTAAAATTCCCTTCAGCTCCATTAGAGTAGTGTACAGACTTCCTAGTTTTTAGCCCAAACATAAACCCACTGATGTGCTTTAGAGACAAACTGGCGCTTCTCTCATTTGGGCTGCGCTATCACGTATTCTTCATCCCTCTACCTCTCCCCCAAATCCTTTATTTTCAAGTTATTTCATAGCTGTGACGGAGTTGGAAATAGCTGCATTGCAGAAAACGGGTTAAAATTTCTTCATGCAGAAGGCAGAGCTGGGAGCTCCAACGCAGCCGCGTGTGCGCGTGCGGGCTGCTCCCACAAGGGCCAGTTGCTCTCCCCATTTGCTTTCGTGACAGCTCAGGCCTGAGGCTTTCTATAAATAGCAAGTCATTGAGAAAATCAGCAGAGCGTGAGCTGCACGGCTCCGCAGGAGCCGCCGCGCCGCGTTTACGGTCCGCGCCGCGGCGAGGAGGAAGGCGGCGCGTCCTCCCTGCGCGCGACGCTGCGTTTGCACGGCCCAGGAAGCGCTTGCTCCATTTTAAACACCAGCTCTTGCTGGCTGCGGCACTGCACAGTGAATTCTCCATTTGCAGATTCCTTCCTCCTCCTGCTTTTCGCACAGTCAGTGACAAGCTGATGTCCACAGCTCAAGTTAGCACCAGCTTGTCCCTTCCTTAAGGGCTGCCAAGGTTTTGCAGGGGGGGAATCTGTTTTGGTGCTTCTCACAGTGCCTTCCAGCTCCGTGTTTGTACGTGGCTTATGCAGGGAGACCTCCTTTCTCTTGTGATTTAGACTGTGTTCTCTAAAAAGGACTGGAATTCAAACTAGAGGAGCCTGGGAACCAACTCTGTAGCCTTTTGCCCCTTTCTTGAAAGAATTGTCCCTCTTGTGGAGCAGTGTAGCCTGCCCAGTCAGTGCTGTGACCACAGTGACCAGTGCAGCAGCCTGATCTGGGGTTAGCTTCTCTCCCATCTGTATTACAGGTTAGTGGGAGCATAAAGTGGCCACGCTGTAATTTTGATTTTAGTGGTGCTTTTGCTGACTTGTTAGAACTTGGGTGCAGCAAACCTAATGAGGCTTGGCAGCCTCGATGGCTTGCCTCACCAAGGATTTATGGAGCCCATATGTAACACCCTACGAGCACACTTCAGCCTTGGCCTTGAAAGCTTCTCTAAGTGGTGTCTCAAGGCAAACCTTACAGCCAGGAGCGTTGGGATGAGGTAATCCAGGACATCACACCCTGAGGAAGGGATGTGGGCAGAGGGTTGGGGTTCTTGCAGCTCCTTACTGGAGGTATCGTGGGTGTTAGTGCTGGAGGGGGTCATGCTGCAGTGTTAATGAAGCTCCCTGGCTAGCAGAGCCGTGCGAGAAGCCCCAGCAGCGAGTTGCTTGCAGGGGCACTTGCACAGGGAGTAGCCAGATATAGAAATGTGTAGCGTGGAGTTGCTGTGTTACCTTGGAGATGGCTTGTGCCGACAGCAGTGGGAGCATCTCTCCCTTCTGAGGCTGCTGGTGTAGCCACCTGCAAGAGGAGAGGCTCTGGAGCCATCCTGGGTGTCTGCACAAGAGCAACCTGGTGCCCATGGGAAGGAAGACAGGTCTGTGTCTCCCGTCCTGCCCCTGGAATTGGGCTGTGTTGCAGGGATGTGGGTGCTTTTTAAGCCTTCCACAGGGACTGATTGAGTTTTTGTGGTCTACTAAAGTAGCATGAGGAACAGGCGTTGTTTTACCACAAAACTGGAAAGGTGGGAGTGGGGATATGGGTGGAGCAGGAAGGAAAGGGAAGGCTCCAGAGGTAGAGGAGTAGGGAATGGGAGCTGAAGCATCGTGGAAGTGATGCCAGGCAGATCTGGCATCAGAGAATCCTGGTGCTCATGCACAAGACAGGCTTAAGTGCAGCTTAAGTGCCTGGATCTCTGTCCTTGGGCATTCGATGGATGCCAGTCCCTGGCAGAGCTGCAGGAAGGGAAGGGATTGTCTCTGAGGGAGATGTCCCAGGTTGTTCTGGCTTCACCAGTGACTTGGAACAAGAATGAATGTCATGTTAGGTAGTGTGGGGACAAAACACATGGAGAAACCAATAGATGGGGACCAGAGATCCCAGGATTTGCCGTGGGTAACCGCCCTCTCCTGCCTTCCCTCCGCAGGCCGCAGCGTACGCGTCGGAGGACGGGGTCCTGACAGAGGCCATGATCGATGCCCGCGTCGCCGACGCCGTGCAGCAGCACAGGCAGAAAATGGACTGGCTGAAAGCAGAGGGTGCCGAGGGCAGCCAAGGGGCCCTCAGGAACTCGCCTTTCCCAGCGGGATCGCCCGTGTGAGCAGCAGTCTGCAGGCTTCAGACCAGCATGTGTGGGGAAGAAGCGGGGAGGGTCGGCTGGGTAAATATTTGGTGTAATCATGTGTTATGCGAGACACGTGGCCGTGGGTACAAGGCAGGAGCGGCTGCTGCCTCAGTCTGCTTGTGGTGTTCTTGGTGTCCGTGCTGTACCATTCGTGTTTTTAGAATACACCAAAAAAAGAAAAAGAAAAAGAAAAAGAAGGTTTGAATAAGCCAGAAGCAACTGCATTAAAAGACCCTCTTGCTGAAACACTGTTGACTGTGCTAGTGTGTGTGGCCCAGCTTGCTAGAGAGGCCCAAACTCCAACTTGTTCTCAGCTTTTTGATGGGGTTTGCAGTGTCCTGTTGACCTGGGCCTCTGTAAACCCAGCTGTGCTGCTCCCACGTGCTTCACTTCTGCAGTTTTGTGTGCAGGTGAGTTCCAGCTCTTCCACTGCATCCTGCCCAGGCCAGACCTCCTCCTTGCTCCTATCTGTGCCTGGAATCTCTCCTTGCTCTCTCATTTTCAGCCCTTGCCAGACCAAAGGAAATCTGTGTCACAGAGGCTGGTGGTGTCACTGCTGGTGCCATGTAGGGTCCTGCCTGAGCCCAGCCTCTGTGCAGGAGCCTCCCTAGGAGCTGTTCTCCACATGCTCCCGCACGTAGTTCCGCTCTTGCCTGCCCCTCGGCGCTCTGTGCTTGGCATCCCCGTGCCTTCGTTGCTCCTGGTGCTGCCAGGAAGCTGCTCTGCCTGTATTGCTGCATTGCTAGAGCGATTAATAAATGTGCCCTTGTCAAAGCCCAAAGACAAACCTGTCTGGATAGATGACATTTGGTCTGTCTGTGTGCATATAAGAGGCCAAACAGAAAATCTTTTGTTTTTTCCTCTTTTTTTTTTTTTTTTCTTCCCCAAAAGCCTGAATGGGAGTTGAGCTCCGGGCTCTGCTCTGTGTCTCCCTGTGTAGCTACACTGAGCAGATGCAGCGTAGCCTGACCCACATTGTGCCCTTGAGTACCTTGCTGAGATGCTCTCTGCTGACAGGAGCTGACAGCACTTTCCGCTGTGTCCATTTTGCTGGTCCTTGGCACAGAACTTGTAGAAATGCATCCTGACACGAGCCTGCAAGTGCAGGAATGGGGAGAGGGTGGTCACCAGCACCCTGAAACAGGCAGCCTTGGGCAGCGCCACGAAGCAAGGAGCCCCGGAGGCTGCAAATCCATCTGCGCTCGCTGTGGGTCTTTCCTGCCTCCTTTTTCCTCGGTGCCAAGGGAGAATCTGTGTTTGCCTCTAAAACGGGTTTTCAGAAGCTGCCCTTTCTTAAGGACAGTAGTTCCACAGCAGCGCTGTGCGCTCGGGCCCTTGTGCTCTACTAAGCCTCACTGCCACGTGGGGCCCACGTTGGGAAGGACTCGCCATTTAAATTGAAACTGCCCCTTTTAGGCAATGCATTTTTTCTTACTGCCATGAGCTTAAATGTTGTCCTCAAGACATCTCTTCAGTGTCCCCGTTAGTCTAGCGGTAGCCGCCTTCTAGCCCACGGATGTGCTGGAGCCTCGGCAGCGTTCTCCGTTCTGCTGAGTTTTCTCTAAAATTGTCTTAGACTTTGAACCCCCAGGCCGGGGCGGAGGGGAGCTGAGCAGGGCCCCTGTTTGCTCAGAGAGCCCTGCTAACAAATTACGCAATGGAGCAGTCTGATCTTCTGTGATTAAATATCTAACTGTGCCTTCTTCCCTGGGTACTTTTCATCCTCGTTCCATAATCACCTCGGGACATGAGTGGGAAGGGGGGTAGTCTGAGGCTGTGGAGGTTCTGCCTTCTCAGGGCCCTTTTGTTGATCCTGGGAGCTGGGAAGAGGCTCCCGCCGCAGCGCAGGGCGAGAGGGGCGGCAGCTGCTGCCGCAGCCCCTTCCTGGGGCTCCTCCGGCACCGGCACCGGCTCCTGCGTGGGAGATTCCTGCTCCTGTGTGGGTGATTCCTGCCCCTGCTCCCAGCGCAGGCTGTTTATCCGGTAGCTAAAGTCCACGTCCCCTCGTGCTGGCGGCAGCAGGGAGGGCTGTTTCCGCCCACGCGCTGCTCGTCCTTCCTTCGCATCGTGTCCTCTCCAGCACCGCTTCGCCTCAGCGCAAACGCTGATGAAGTCGATTTTCTTCACAAGTCCCAACAACGGCTACGACCCGGTTTCTAAATCCATCTTTACCAAGAGATGCCTCCTCCTCCTCCGTACTCCGCTTCCAGCAGCCAGGAAGGTGGTTCCATGCCCTGCCGAACAGCCGTGCCGGTTGCCGACATTCCTGTGCTCACCTGGAATGCAACAGCGAAGGAGAGGAAAAGGCCCCTGGACCTTATTCAGCTCCTGCCTCCGCCAAGATTTAAATGCAGGGCCTTTGTCATGTCTGTCACCCTCCTTAATAAGTTTGGCTTGCTGTTGGCTCCGAGAATGACTGATGTCCCTGGAGAGGTGGCACCCAACTAGCTATCTGTTAATATTCCCTGTAAGGAGGGGATGGCAACTCCAGGCTGAGGTTATTTCCTATCCATGACATTGAGTGAGTTATGAGATAATGGCACTTTATTAAAATAGTATTTTGTATAGGAGAGCAAATCTAGGAGGAGATGGATTAGCCAGCAATGCATCATTCCCCATCTTTGCCGTTGCAAGCTGAAAAATGTCTATTTTGTGCTTCAGCATTACAGCTGGGAGACAGATTAATAATGTGGACATCTATATTCGCAGGTGCCATCCATTAAAGTATTTACTTTTGCATCTGATACACCGTGAGGAAAGGCCTGCTGAGCAAGCAGGAGGATGCAGCGGTGCACGTTTCCTCACCCCTGCACGTCTCGTGCTGCAGAACTCGAGGGAGACAGGAGTCTCCAGAACATACGTCTCTCCCAACCTGCATTTGTGTTTTGAATGGAAAAGAAATACTTGTTTTCTTTTTTAATAAACCATTTTCTTTGCTAGTTTCCTCTTTATCACGATATTATTCCTCTGTTTGCATGTTTGAAAGATGTAGTGGTGGCAAATCTGATAAATTTGGGCAGGCTGTGGTGGAAGTCCCAGCCTTACCTGGGGAGGCTTCCTGGGCCGGGAGGTCCTTTGCTTATGGAAGTCAGTCCATGGCTCAGCCCATGACTCACTGCTCTTGGCACATGCACGTAAATATCGGGTCCTTTTTTCCCCCTTCGTCTTCTGCTGCTGTAGGCTGTGATTTTTAGCATTGCTGTTAGTGTTTTTCCCTGATCCGGTTTCATATTTTTGCCTCCACCAAGCCTGGGGGGTGCATAAGCATCTCTGCACTCCATGAAGCCTGAAGGCCCCCTCAGCCCCGGACTTGCTTAGTTTATATATGGGATCCTGTTCCCATATGGACATTGTAGACACTGCCCCATTATGCCGCATAATCCAGGGGAAACTCCATAAATAAATCCAGGCTTTCTCCGTGAATAGAGCCGGACATGGCTGCTTCCTTCTCCATACCTAGGGCTGGATGTAGCTCCTTCCCAGCCGGTTTGTCACCTCTGCACCTCTTGTCCTCTCCTAAACCCCTGTCCCGAGCTCGTGCCCCAGCAAATCCCTGGGCTCAGCAGCATCATTTGCTTCAAAGGGCTGGAAAAAAAACAGTCAGATGCAGAACATGCAAAAAACTATTTTACTGACAAACAACAAAGGATGGGCTTAGTTTCAGGAACTGAATTGGTCACATATTGTACAAACATATTACTGAGAGAAGGGATGACTGAGATGATACACTCGTTGACCCATAAAACCCATGTGCTTTTTCTCAACCCTCCCACCCCCTCACCACGCTCCCCGTGTCCTGCAGCTGCTCCAGGAATTTCCCTTTGCTCCAGCACAGTCTTTAAGGGACACACATAGGGGTGACATTCACCTGTGCAATCATATTTAAAAATATATATATAGCCATTATTGCTTTTCATTCAGAAGAAAGATTATTCTAGAATTAGACTCAGTATAATTTCTCTGTCTTGGTTGATATCAGTGTGTGCTGCACCTCTTCCTGCATAGGAGACGCTGGATGAAGGATCAACCCTCCACATTTTCCTCTCGTATTCCCATTGTATTATTGAAAATGCTTTCCTGAACAGCAGGCTCCATCCCATGATGGATCCATCTGCCTTAGCCACCGGGAAAGGAGGGTACTCAGCGCTGCGCGGGATCAGGTTATTGTCCCCGGAACCTGGGTCACGCATCCATGAAAATCCTGCTGCTCAGCTGGAAGAGCAGCGTTAAACCAGCAACCCCGTTGGAAAAGCAGTGAGTGGCAACGAGGTGGAGGTTCAGGCCTGGATGTGGTGCTGCTGGGCCAAGCGATGCCAGCCGGGGAGCAAGCGGAGGAGGTGAGCATCTTTCCATGCTCTTTAGCGCATGGCTCTGAGGAAGAGGGTGGGCACAGAATGGGTTTAAAAGCACATTCCCTGCAGGGATCTCATGGAGCTGCAGGGCTGGGAAGAGGCTGCTTGGATTTAAAGAGCTAAAACATGGATTTCTCCAGCCTCTTCCTCTCTTCCCAGCCCCGTCCTTTGCCTCCAGCACGGGCCCATTCCGTGCCCAGGCGGAAACCCGGGCTCATCAACCACAGCCGCAGGAGGAGGCTTCCAGGACCAATCCCAGCCCCGGAGAATCAGCGTATGGAGCTTCAGGCTCCATCTCTGCTCTAAAAATAGCCCCTCCTGAGGCTGCACAAAATTCCCCCCACGATGTAGCCGCCCCCAAAGCATCTGGCAGGGAAGAGCCGAGTCCCGCGCGCTTCCCACGCCTTGGCCCTGCCGTTTGCACCCCACCTTTACCCTTCCATGGGTCCCCTCCAGCACTTCCCATGCCTTGACCTGATGGTGCCAATTCCCTGATGCCAAAATCGCTTTGTCTCTAGCCAGAAGCTTTGGGATTGGGGGGAGGTTGTTGGAGCTTTCCGAGTTTTGTTGTTGTTTTGGTCTGGGGTTTTTTTTGTTTGTTTATTTTGAAGCCTGGATCAGAAC